CATGTCAAAAAGTTTCTGGAAAGATCGGGGCCCTTCACGCATCCTGACTTTGAACCCAGCACAGAGGTAACAAATACAAGAAGCGTCATTATGCAAGCTTTTCATTAGTCATTTAATCTGTTGTGCTGTTATGGATAATGTCTCTATCACCTCTCATCACAGTCACTGCAGTTTATGTTAGAAACCTGCAAAATCCTGGTCATTGGTGCTGGTGGTCTGGGATGTGAGCTGCTGAAAGACCTGGTATGATCACATGTTATGAATATTTGGAAGGTCTAATCTGTGCTTTAATGAATGACCAACACTTTGTTGTTTGTTTTTGTTGATGTTGTGCCTCAGGCTTTATCAGGCTTTCACAACATCCATGTAGTAGACATGGACACCATTGATGTTTCAAACCTGAATCGACAGTTCCTCTTCAGGTAAGTAGAGTTATGTAATAACTGTATGCATCATTTCCCATATTTTTTAAAATGTTTGTTTAATGCAATGTCTGAAGCAAGCAGATATTTTTTGTTAACGTGTGTGTAATGTTGACTAGGCCAAAAGATGTCGGTCGGCCCAAGGCGGACGTTGCAGCTGATTTTATCAACAGCCGTATACCTGGATGCTGTGTAGTCCCGTATCCTTTTGCTTGAACAACTATTGCAAGATTTTAGATATTTTAATGTAAATTCAGCTGTTTAAAATGCCCAAACCACAATCTGCATGATTCAAATGTCATATGAAAATGTTACGAGCAGCTAATCTACGTGTTAAAAATAACAATTTAATAATGTCGACATAGACACTGTACAGGTTGTGAAAGTACATTCTCTCCAAACATGAAACTCTCCTAAATGCTTTGTTCAGACATTTTAAGAAAATCCAAGACTTAGATGAAACATTCTACAGACGTAAGTATCATTAGGATTATGCATTCCCAACACTTCTATTGTTTGGTTGGATGTTGTTTTGTGTTCAAAATGGTTTCATACATTCACAAAACTACTTGAGACAAAAAGACAGCCTAACAAGCCACTTCCTGTCACTCCAGTCCCTCTCTATACCTCTCACATAGCCACTGATAAGATTTAAATGAAATTGTGTTCCATTTTCAGCTCTATAATACATAGCATTAGGTTTTCATGATATTTAATCAGAGTCAGACATACTTTAATAATCCCAGGGGCAAATTACTTTTGTTACCCCTAATGCGTGGTGTGTCATTATCACATTAGATTTAAATTAATTTTTCTGTTTTCATCTAGAGTTCCATATAATTGTCTGTGGACTGGACTCTATAGTTGCCAGGAGGTGGATGAATGGCATGCTGGTAAGTTATTCCTCTTCACTGCAGTCTTTATCACAGTTCTTTTTCTTAAAATGGTAAAGCTGTAATGGCTCGTTCACACTGCCTTCCTGAGCAGCGTGTGTGCTTGAGGATCGTCTAACAGATTAGAGCAGTCACACTGCCCGTGTGAGTGCCGTGTCTCAGCTGCGGCTGCAGTGTCGCTTCACTTCACTATTTTTTTTCCGTGAGCCATGTCAGCCAGCAAAAAGGGTCTGTTTATAGTCATCGACAATACACCAGCAACATATACACCTTTCAGTATATTTACCATGTCTGTATATGTAGAATATGTCACAGACATGGAAAAAAATATAAATGTATTATTTAAACTTAACATTTTTTGTATTTGTATGTTAACAGGGCTTTTATTGTATGGTATTTATCAAAGGCAAACTCAGTATAGAAAGATAGGGCTGGCAGCAGCAGCTCCACAGAAGAAGACAGATATTGCAGTATGATTCACGATTAGTGTGGGAATGATCGATTTTGCATCACAAAAAAAAACAAAACATTACTTTATTATAATGCTGTTTTATCACATATTTTTACCTTTAACAAAAAAATCCTTCTTCTGTGATTTGCATATTGCACTCAGCCCTATTGCAATTTCAATAATATATTCATTGTGCAGCCGTAGTATTATGTAATCACACGCACATCCCTGTCTTGCCGTGCAGCTGTCTTTGCTGGTTTATGAGGATGGTGTCTTGGACCCAGGTTCCATCATTCCTCTCATTGATGGTGGGACAGAAGGCTTTAAAGGCAATGCCAGAGTCATTCTCCCTGGCATGACCGCCTGCATCGACTGTACTCTTGAGCTTTACCCTCCTCAGGTGAGATAGCTTTTTTTCCCCCCGAAAAATAATGTTTACAACCACAACTCAGTGGTCTTACCGAAACAAGTCCTGGTCAGTTTGTTGTTGCTAAAATACAGCCGTCGTTGTAGGTCAACTTCCCCATGTGTACAATAGCCTCCATGCCTCGTTTGCCAGAACATTGCATTGAGTATGTCCGGATGCTGCTGTGGCCCAAAGAGACTCCCTTTGGAGGTAGGAAATCACTGGGACTGCAGTTATTATTTTTATAGTATTTTTTCTGTTGACTGCTCTTTGTAATGTTTAGAAGGATAATTAAGTTTGACATGAGGCTCAACAAACTTACAAGACCTTTATAAACAAGTCCTTGTGTGTGTGTTTGTATGTGTGTGGATTAGATGGTGTGGTCCTGGATGGGGATGACCCAGAGCACATCCAGTGGGTGTATCAGAGATCTCTGGAGAGGGCAGCAGAGTTCAACATAACAGGAGTCACATACAGACTAACCCAGGGTGAGCACACATAGCACATCTACGAGCCAAAGTACATAAAACACAACAAGCTGTTTCTGTCCGAGTGATGATGATAAAAGTTTGGTATCTTAGTTGGTGCCTCTAAACACAATTTGTTTTTGCGTGTAAGACAAATGGTAAAACATTGCAACAAACATGTCTCATTGATGTTTGTGCAGATTTTATGTCTTTGATTTTCCATTTTGAGAAGTAAGCAGTAAACATATATTTTCTATATCCGATTCAAATGTTGCAGGTGTCGTAAAGAGGATAATTCCAGCTGTAGCGTCTACAAACGCTGTCATAGCAGGTAAGTAGCTAAACGTGAAGGTGCACAGACCTGTGGACTTGATGTCTTTATGAAAGATTGTATGCTCTGCCATATAAGAGTTAATCATTTTCCAAACAGTACTGAGCATATTGACTTTATAAAAACAACGGAAATGTCTACCTGGCCATAACACTTTTTTTTCTTATTTGACCAAGCTGCTTGCGCAACCGAGGTTTTCAAAATAGCATCAAGGTAAGTCTGCAGGTTCTGCCTGGCAGCCCAGTGAAGATCTGTATAAACCACACATACCTTTTACTGTTTCTCATGGTGTTACCTTTTGCATCTGCAGTGCCTACATATCTCTCAATAACTACATGGTCTTCAATGATGTTGACGGCCTGTACACCTACACTTTTGAAGCAGAGCGGAAGGTTTGTCCCTGAATTTCATCTGCCAGTTCATTTGTTACAGTAATGAAGTTGCCTTTTTGTAACACGTATGTTTATGTTCAATTCTGATGCAGGAAAACTGTTCAGCCTGCAGCCAAGTACCTCTGGACTTGCACTTTTCTCCATCTTCCAAACTCCAGGAGGTGTTGGACTACCTGACTGAGAGTGCCTCCCTGTAGGTTTATTTATGATTTATTACTCTATCACTATACTTAAGTTATGCTTGTGGTCATATTTGTTTGTTGTTTGATTTTGGTAGTACATTACACATTGTCTTTGACAACCAAATATAATGGATTTTTTCAGACAAATGAAATCACCTGCTATAACAGCGTCAGTGGAGGGAAAGAACAAAACATTATATTTACAGGTAATTAGCCTCTGATTTCACACTGTTTTGTGTTTTCAGTTCATTTTTTTAAGGTAATGGGAGTCTGAGGGGTGTCCTGATGAAATTAGACAATTGAGCAAGTTTTGGTTTGAACTGACATTTATTTGGTATTTTGTTTTACAGTCTGTCGCTTCGATTGAGCAGAGGACGCGGCCAAATCTGTCCAAAACGCTGAAGGGTGAGGTGCTTTATTTACTGAATATGTTTCCGAGAAATGGCAATGCTTGCGCTCTGAATTGGTCAGATGAATACACAGTGAATGCGCTGACTCATTTATGTTATGAACATGTTTTTTCCAGAGCTGGGGCTGACTGATAGACAAGAGCTGGCTGTAGCTGATGTCACCACACCCCAGACTATGTTGTTCAAACTCAGCTTTACCTCATAGGATGAACTCAAGCACTCCCACAACCAGTTGATGTCATGTTTGTTTCTCGGCCAACTATGACTTGATGCAGATACAGAATATTTAAAATGGCCTAAAAACTAGAACAGTTTACAATGTATTCAGTCACAGTGTAAATGATTGTAGCTAATTCCATTGTTTTAATGTACTTATTGACTTGAGTTAATGTTTTGCACTGAAAAGCCAAATCATAGTTCAAAACCTGTCATGTTTTGGTGATACATTGTATGCAAATGTTAAGGATTTCTGCATTAATGTCTTATCTGCACTACAACCTAAAGCGTGCTCTGTGCAAACAAAGAGACAAGCATTGGTTACTTTTGGGAAAAGATTATTCTGTACTTGTTCTGGTTTCAAATATTTTGAATATTTATTTATTCCAACAGTTTTTTAGTTGCAGTAACCACTGGAGTGGTAATCAACAGACACTGATAATGATGTGTGAACTGGAATAAAATGTTTTTCTTACAAAGTTTCTGCTTTCTGTATGTACCTATGTGTATTTGTGGGAGTGAAATAACAGTTACAGAGTATGGATGATTGACAGGCCTTACTGTGTAAGAGCCACTTTGCTTGTTTGTTTACATGCATCAATACAGACTGAGCATTTAAGGTATTGGCTAACATCTAAAAAAAACAAAGGCTCAAACATAAACAAATGGAGCTGATAATATATACATATTGGAAATCCATACTTCAATAATTGGGAGGTCAGAGATGTAGAGGATTAAACATGCAGGTGTGGTTTTGGAGGACTCCCCTGCTGACTGGACTTTAAAGTCTCAGGCCCAGTCAGCCCGGATCATGACGTCATGGTGCTACGTGGAAAGGAAGTAGCGAGCAGGCTAATGCTAGCTGGGCTACAAGTTGAGAGCGACCAAAACAAACGATGACGGCCGAGCAAAGGAGCCGAAAGAAGCTTGGATTAACCATGGGAATGCTCTTGCTTTGATATCTGTAGAGTTCTAGATACGGTACTAGCGATAGCTGTATTTCTACATGACTGACTTGTAGAAATTATGCCATTTTTGAGTGCCAGCTAGCCCGTTTGAGCTGCAGCTGTACCTGGGATTGATGCTGCCCTTTACACTAGCGTTATGTTAGCTCACTAACTAGCTCAGCGGTAGCTAGCTGTCCATAAAGATTTTCTGGACCGAACAATATTTGAAATTGTTAAATATTTGTTCGCACCAGGTTATCGTCGATAACGAAAAATGCAGAGGCAGTGAAAGTGGCTGTGCTTCGTGCTTTGTGACGCCAAATCCTCTTTAACATCCGCGTAACAATTCCTGAACTTGCTAGCTAGCCAAATAGTCAAAATGAGTTGGTTCAACGCGTCTCACCTGTCCAGCTTCGCTAAACAAGCTTTAACATCAGCTCAGAAGTCAATCGACCGAGTTCTGGACATCAAAGAAGAGGACCAATGGGGTGACACAGTTGTAATGCCCTATGATGGTAAGTAATGTAACATGACGTGGTAATAACTAGCTAATGTTGTCATATGCAACTGCTACAACTGCTAACATGACAATTTCTTTCTTTCTTTCTTTCTTTCTTTCAGATGTAACACTACCTGGGAAGCTGTCATTAAGTGGAGGATGGGGAATGACCCAGTGGGAAGCTCCCCCTGAAGAGAAGACCACCACCCCTCCGCCTTCCTCTGAGGCCATTACTACTCCTGTCACCCGCACAGTTGTGGATGAGTCGGAAAACTTTTTCAGTGCCTTTCTGACGCCTGGAGACGTACAAAGTACCCAGGTAGTGTCTGTGCCCCCTACTAAGTCTCAAAGGCGGCCCCAGGAGAAGGAGAAGAAAAACAAAGAGGCTCTTGTCCAAAAAGAAGTGGAGACTCAACAGTCGGCACCCGTCGATACGAGTGATGAGAATCAGACGGTTCCTGAGAGCCAGCCGGTTGAACCTGAGGCCTCACCGACAGCACCTTATGCAGACTCTATCCTCCTGGAGCCAGTTTCTCCTGCTTCTTCTTCTTCTTCCTCGTCTTCGTCTTCTGGTGAACTTCCTTGTGACCCTGACAGCAACACGAGCTGCGTGAAAACAGATGTTGTCTCAACAGTCGCTGTAGACTCAACAACAGAGCAGTCACAGACTCCATCAGACCTCCAGGGTGAGAAGGATACCGCAGATTCCTCTGAATCTTCGGATGTCACTTCTGAAACAAAGGGCTCAACCCCTTCTGATCCTACGCCCTCGCCGTCCTCTAAGGAAGTACTCATAGAGCATAAAGACTCAAAGGTAGAGGACCGTCAAAATGACACCCCCTCTCCTCCAGTCAGCGCTTTCTCCTCAGGAACCTCTACCACCAGTGACATTGAAGTGCTGGACCACGAATCTGTGTTGAGTGAAAGCTCGGCCAGCTCCAGACAAGAAACAGGGGAGGGCAAGGCTGGCCTTCACCTAATGCAGGGCTCCTTCCAGCTTCTCACTGCCTCCACTTGTGGAGATTTCCCCCGTCTGGAGGACTATTCCAAACTCACAGAGAGCTGCGGCTCCTCCTCGGACGCATTTGAGCGCATAGATTCATTCAGCGTACAGTCGCTGGACAGCCGGAGTGTCAGCGAGGTTAACTCAGATGATGAGGTCCCTGGCAGTCGGACACTTGCATCTGTCACTGCAGGCCCTGCTCCTTTAACAGTGTCATCGTCTGTGTGTCAGAAGCAGGAAGATGGAGTGGTGGAGAAGGTAGGAGAGGAGGAAGAGGAGGATGAGGAAGAGGGCTTTACTGAAACAGTGAGGGAGCAGTCGCTGGATGAGATGGAGGAGAGTGGACGGAGTGCGACGCCTGTTAATAGTGAGCAGCCTGAAGAGTTGACAGAACAGGAACAGGGATCTGAGGCGACTGTCACAATGTCCAATGTCATCTCTGAAGCTGAAGAACGGATCACTCCACCAATCACAGAAGAGATGAAAAGTTTCTCAACAGTTCAGATTTTGGAGCTTCAAAAGGTATCAGTTGGTACTGTAGATGGTCAAATCAATTGTAATGATTTGTTTTATGTACACATTATACAACAATATGGACATAACATGTGTTTATGTCCATATAGTAATCACAAAGCATCATTTAAAAATTTAAAAAGTAACAACAAATGCATTTAAACCAACTCCATAATTTGCATAACCTTCCTTAGAATGCAAATTAGAAGTAAATCGCTTTAGTAAGCTGTCATGTGACATTTCCATATCATCTTGTAAATTCTTCCCAGCATGTTGACCTGGCCAACACTTTGTGTTTGTCCTGTCTAATCGCTTTAATCACAACTTTGCTCTGTGGTTGAAGACCATTGGACACTTGTATTATTGTATTTTAAAATATCTGCCAATACGTCCGAATTTGTCTGTATTTTAATCAGTTCTTACCCCAGGAGTCCCAGAATTTGTTATGCTATATGAAGAAAGCAGCTGTAAAACGCTCAATGTATATTTAAACCCTACCACACTGCTTTTCTTTTTTTTTTCTTTCACCTGCTGTTGTAAACACAAAAAAATGTTGTGGACATGTAGGTCATTGATGAGCTGTCAGCCCGCCTTGAGAAGAGAGAGTCTCAACTTCTGACTGTCAGCAAAGACAAGGCCAGACTGGAGGAGGAGTGTGACAATCTCAGAGAGTGAGTACATGGCCCACACCCCTGGTTCACAATGGCACTGTAAACAATCTTGATAAGAAAGCTGTTTTGCCCAAGAGACTAATGTTCTTGCTGATATACAGGTCAGACAAGGCAATATATTACCACTGTGTTATGCTGGTTCTATGAAACTATTTGTTCAACTCTTAAGTTGAGCTACAGTAGGTTTTAAAATATACCTTAATGCACGTATGTAATTATTCTAACTACAATGCTTAAAATAATCTACTTGCACTATCTTGGCTTTGAGGCTGACAATGAGCTCTTACACTAATGAGTCTGTTCATTCTCCAGTGAAGTGGTAAGCCTGAAGGAGGAGAGCTCCACCGTTCAGTCTCTAAAGGATGAGTTCACCCAGCGCATAGCAGACGCAGAAAGGAAGGCTCAGCTGGCCTGCAAAGAAAGAGACATAGCTAAGAAGGTAACGCATCTATTAGTGAGCCAAGCCTGTACTCATACGCATATATAATTGCAACTAACCTATATTTATCTACCGCAGTGTAACATGTCCAAAGAGTCTGTGTCAAAGATGATATCTTTCTATGCTGCAGGAAATAAAGGGCTTGCGAGAAGAGCTTTCTACCAGACTGAACTCCAGTGATACAATGGAGATCATCAGAGAAAAGGAAGAGCAGATCCGAGGCCTACTGGAAGAAGGTAAGACTAATTGATGTAGCAGACTATTATTTTTCACCTCAGCCAACCCACTTCATCTCTAGACAGGCTGTACTGCCAAGAACGTATTTAAAAGGAAACTGTGGTATTTCCAATTTTCCCATGTTTTTGTGTGACTATTGGGGACCACAATTTTTAAAATTGCTCCAGTATTTAGAGAGTTTGATATTTTTGTTTGTGTTATTGTGTGACTGGTGTAAAAACAGTTAAATCACACAATAACATACTAACTAACTAACCGACCGAGGCAGCGGTAGACCAGCAATCCCTTTTATTTTGCAATATAAAGGCTGTTTCTGGTTAAACAAAAATGTCTGTATTTGTAGGGATCCTTTCCATAATGTGGTCAGACACTTAGAATAACAATCTGAGCCTGTCAGTGGAAGAACAACCCCTTTCAGTGGATGTGCATTGATGGTGCACAATTGCCCATAACAATTATGTTGCAGCCAGTTTCACGGCTGCCAGCTGCAGCGCTCTCACTCAATACTGGAGCAAAAATTGTTGTGTCCATTAGTCACTTGGACACAAAAAACATGGAAAAATAGGATCCAGGCTGAAACATACCAAAGTTTTCCTTTTACCCTTTCACATAAAGCCAGTTGTAGCTGTTTTTATTATGTCTAACCTCACAAAAGGTTGCTCAAGTAGCACACAAGGTGTTGAATGAAGAGTAATGTAATGAATGGATGGAAGTGTCACCACCATAATTTCAGAGTTAGAGCAAATTATTTATTGCGGTTTAAGAGATCACGCATACGCCAACCTTGAAGGATTAAAGTGTGGATGGTTTAAAGAACAGCTGGTGACTTTATACCTTGTTACTGAAATCTTGCTCAGTGGGTATTGTCCCAGCATCTGTTTACCTACGTGGCTGAGTAGTTGTTTATTTCTGTCACTTTTAGGTGAAAAGCTGTCCAAGCAGCAGCTGCAGCACAGCAACATCATCAAGAAACTGCGTGTGAAAGAGAAGGAGAGCGACACAAAAATCATCAAGCAACAGAAGAAAATCAATGAGCAGGACGAGGAGCTCAGGCAACTGCAGCAGGTCAGATTTTAGTATGTAGTTCAAAATGTCAATTTCACAATAGAAAGAATTTTTAGTTTAGTTACTGACAATTTTAGTCAGAGGACCTTTATTTTAATTTTAATTGGTTTCAACTTTGTCCCCCTTTTTTTTTAATTCACTTTGTTTATGTACTTAATTACTATGACAGGCAAATTTCAGCTAACTCTAGACAACACATTAAAGAGAACTTTAATTGCTTCAGTTAGCAGCATTTAAGTTCTCATGTCTCTACTCAGGAGGATTCAATTGGAGGAAGTGAGGTTGAGCAGTCAGGGTTTGGTATTGTTAGGAGGTCCAATAAAATGTCTTTGAAGTCATTTTATTGTTCCATTGTTTGACATGTTATTGGCTTTTCATTTGAAAAGACAGCAATAATGTCACCATATGGGGGCTGATTTAAAAATGAATGTAATCAAAAGACTCATTCCTTCATATTATACTTCTAGGTTCTAGATGGGAAGGAGGAGGTGGAGAAACAGCACAGGGAGAACATCAAGAAGCTGAACGCTGTGGTGGAGCGGCAGGAGAAGGAGCTGAGCAGGCTGCAGACGGACGATGAGGAACTGCAGGAGAAGAACAGGAGCCTGCAGGCTGCTCTCGACAGCTCTTACAAGTAAACATTGACACACCCTGCTACGGATACTGAACACTCACAACCGAGTTCTTACTGGAAATCTAAACCCACAAGCCAGCTATTGTGTTTTATTGTACCTTGCTGACATGCTCTGCTGAGTATACAGTGTGGACTAAGTATTTGGAAAGTAACATATTTATTATGTGATGCTCCAGTTCATTGAACTTAAAATGATGCAATAATAGTGAGGTTAAACTGTTGACTTCCACCTTTAATTTGAGGGGTTTTACATCTACATTGGGTGAACACTGTATGAATAGAAACTATTTTTATACATAGTCAGAGAGTAATTGTACAAATGAACATATTCTTAAATAATACCCAGTTGTCATTGTTGTGTTTTAAAACCTGTGTGCTTAAGTACAGAGCCAAACAAGAATAAATGTTTCATTGTTCTTACGAATACACACGTTGCAGTAATATGATGCTGATGGTTTACTTCTACATCTCTGTTGTCAGGGAGCTGGCAGAACTTCACAAGGCGAATGCCAGCAGAGCCAGTGAGGCCGAAGAAGCGGCTCTCAGCAGGGACACACATGCCAAGGAGCAACTGAGCCTGGCTCTTGAGAAGGCCCAGGAGGAGGCCAGGATACAACAAGCGGCCCTGGCCGAACAGGTACCACAGACTAACACCATGGAACAATTTGTTTGCTATGCAAGTAAGTAAAGCGTTGGAGGCTTATTAGACATACTGGGTTGGAGCAATCCAGCACACCTCAGTAAAGCTGTTATTTACTGCAGGTTTTTATGGGTACTCACTGAGGCACGCAGCTGACGGTGTGTGTTACTTTCACTATACCCAGACTTTGTTCAGTTGCACCAGCTTTCGTTTATAAAATCAAAATCCATGGGATACCACCAGGGATGGGGATGTAGTGAATGTTCACAACATCTTCTGATAATTTTGATGGAGATGCTACAGAAGCATTAAGGCACACTGATTGATTTAATTTAAACATGAATAATTATCTTAATTAACTACACTGGACATTAATTTAATCACTTGTTTATCCGAACATCTCTTTCTAATGTTTTGTACAGGTGGCTGACCTGAGACTGGCTCTGCAGAGGGCTGAGCAGCAGCAAGCAAGGAAAGAAGATTATTTGAGGGAGGAGATCAGTGAGCTGCAGCAGGTACGCTGGTTATACACTGGTTAGAGGGTCTCCTACAAAGCTGGTTCTCTTTGACTAGAGGCAAAAAAAAATCTAAAATAATAACATAATTATGACAGGGACAGAATTTACTCAATGCACACCATTTTTTTCTTGTCTTCCACAGAGGCTTCAGGAGGCAGAGACTAGGAACCAGGAACTCAGTCAGAGTGTTACCTCTACAACACGGCCCCTTCTGCGTCAGATTGAGAACTTACAGGCCTCATTGGGTGGACAGACAGCATCCTGGGAAAAACTGGAAAAGAACATCTCTGATAGGCTAGGTAAGAGGCAGGAGTTTAACTGTATGAGTAAAACAATCACCAAAAGACAGTATTGTACAAAGTGAGCAAAAAGCTTTACGTCTGTTCTCCCTCTAATACCCCTTTTCTTTTCATCAGCGGATGCCCAGGCACAGCTGGCCGTTGCTGTGGAGAAGGAGCGATCAGCAACAGAAGAACTACTGTCCATCAAGTCCCAGCTGGTCTCTCTAGAGTCCCAGAATTCCCTGGTCCGGCAGGAAAAGGCCCGACTCCTGGCACAGTTGGAGGCTGAGAAGAACAAGAGAGAGAAACTGGAGGATGAGAGCAGCAGGTAACAAATTAGAACTTAAAGCCTACAAGGTTGGTTGATGCGTCTCTTCCTTTGTCATTATATTTCTTTTTCACTTTGGAATGTGTGGGGTTGGATAGATGATTCATGGTTTTTGGTGGTTTAATTTGAACTATGAAATGGTTTCACTGAGTTCCTACTAAATTATATCCCAACCACTGGACCATCAAGAATGTGTGTTGCAGGACAGAGTAGTAGTAGACAACACAGTGAATGTTATGCTATTTTCAATTTCTTCTTGTTATCTAACTTTATATACATATGCATAATGTGGGATTGAAAATTACTAGCATGGTTTTCTGGGAAGGAAAAAACAGAAGGTGTTGTCACCACATCCCCTTTGTAATGCTAATGCTTCCTGGAGAGTGGTTTTCTGTTACAACAAACCCATTTGTGAGTCAGAGTGTGAAGCAGAGGCCAGGGGGATCCCCTCCTGACAGAAGCAGTCATGCGTGTGCTAGCTTTTGTGCCACAGAGTCATCTTTTGTGAGAAGGCTCACTCCTCTGACTGGGCCAGTGGCGCAATGGATAACG